CGCCACCGCCGCTGCCACCGCCGCTGCCCCCGCCGCTGCTACCCCCTCGGCCGCCACCGCCTCCACCGCCGCTGCCGACGCTACCACTCCCGCCAGCACTCCCGCCACCACTCCCTCTGCCACCTCCTCCTCCTCCACCGCCTCCACCACCACCCCCCCCCCGGTGCCACCTCCGCTACCCTTGGCTCCGTTGCCCTTGCCGTTGCGACGCCTCCCACCAGGGGCAGAAACAACACCAGCAGACTCAGCACCAAGGAGGTCAACAGCAGCAGCAGTAGCGAAGGAGGGGGCGAGGGGAGAGGGAGAGCACCCCTCAAATATGGGGGTGCGAGGAGCGCCACGAGCAGCAGCTACAGCGACAATGTGTTATAGTCACAATAGGCTTGAATGTGCCTAAAACGAAAGATAGAGAGCACAGACGGATTTCTGCACAGCGGCTTCAAACGTTGATAGCGTTCTGCTCACAGCTGCAAATAACTTGATTCAAATTGGATCTAGAGCGTCTTCACGTCGTCTACAATTATTAATTTAGATTGCACGATTTGATAAAGAATTGACGACACAGCGTCGGTTTGAACGAACGGTACTATGGCAGCCACTATAGTCTTAGAACACAAGATAGGAAGAGTTGCGAGTTGGGAATGACTCGCAGCTCCTACAAACCCCAAGAGCCGAGGTACAGTGATGTGGAACAGTGCCACACTGTCCCCAACCACGAAGGGTCTCGAAACTACCCTTCACTAGGGCCTACACCAAGTGAAATGTTACACTACACAAAGTAATGTAAATATCTTCAATATCTTGAGGTGTACCCTTTTTGGCGAGCTTCGAAATCACTTGAGGCTTGACACCAAGGCTCGGGCTCTTCATCACAAACTCATCCTTGAGTTCTTGATGGGTCTGCTGCACACACCTGCGACACGCCGAACGTTCGACACAGGACAAAATAGAAACCGCGCACGACAAAATAGAAACCGCGCGCGAGACACAAACGACCGCGTAACACGCGTCTAGCGATAACTCGCTATTGACTCGACACACACACTCGACATCATGACTCAACATTCACACACAATTATAAGCATGAAATATATATTATCCCATGCCCTCATACCATTCCATACACACACACATTCACGCACACGGACAACAAGCCGAGTGCAAACCGTAGGGTTGCACCAACACAATGCTCTTCTCTGCTGCAAGGAGGTGCTGCTCTAGGAGGTCGACAGTGAGTTCGGTGGGACAGCGAGTGAGAAAGTGGTCCCGGACCGAGCTAAGAGCGTCAGGGAGACGGGTGGCTATGAAGTGGAACGTCCAGTACACCGGAGGCGGGTGCTTAGCACAGAAGTCTTTGGGGAGGGCGGCGCGAAGGCGGGTGTCACTAGTGCGAAGGTGGGTAATGAGATCGGCAACTGTGGCAAAGGTTGACAGCTCAGGAAACAGGTAGGGCAGCATGAGGCGGCTAAGCTCAGCTGTGGCAGGGGAGGAGTATCGAGCCACTACAGCGTCGTAAAGGGCCTTAGCGGTCTTGTGCTCGCCAAAATGCGTGAGCTCAGTTAACGGAAGATTATTGCGGACAGCTAGGCGCGCAGCAGCATCACGAGTCTGCCACTGTGAACGGGCGCTAAGCTCAGCGGTGGCAGCGGGAGCGACTGAGGCACCTGACGTGTGGTCATAAAGAGAGACATCGTTCTTGCTATCGCTCATTAGGAACAGCTGCAGGTCATCTAGCCAGGTTTCGAACTGAATCGGGCGGCCCTCGGCATCGAAGGACAGAACTCGGAGAGTGGCCATAGGTGCTGGCGCGGGACTAGCAGCGCAGAGCGTCTGCAGGCAAGCAGCAGTAGCAGTAGTTGCAGCAGTAGCACTAGTAGGGGGGGGGAACGGCGCTCGAGGGCGCTAGAGCTACGCTTGAGGCAGGGCCGAACCGCGCGCTGCTAGAAGGGCGGCGCGGCGGGCAGACAAGGGCGGCGCGAGGGCCGTAAGGGTGCGCGAAGGCGGGGCCGAGCCGCGCGCTGCTAAAAAGGGCGGCGCGGCAGGCAGGGAAGGGCGGCTCGCGGGCCCTACAGGTGCGCGACAGGCCAGGCGGGGTCGCGCGCTGCCAGCACGGCAGCGCGACTGGCTCCCGAGGGCAGCGCGAAGGCCCTAAGGCGACGCGATGGACGGGGCCGGGCCCTAGGGCGGCGCGACGAGGAAAAAAAACGCGCGTCGCGCGGCAAGCAGGGCGGCGCGACGGGTGGGGCAGCTTGAGAGGGAAGGTTAGGCGCTAAAAACGGGATTTAACGGTGGGCCCTCTTGGAAATTAGGTCCTAAGAACCTAACTGCTCTTAATACCATGTTTGAGTAGTAACCTAGGAATGAATCAACTATCGAGGGAGTTTGGTACAAAGGAAAACCCTAAGGGGTTGTACCCTGCATTGGCTACCCCACTATAGCCTACATAAATTAGCATGACATATATAGTTTGACAGTTGTGATCCACCCCGAACTTGCTTTGCTTTTCTTGACTGGTCTTGTGACCCCTTGTTCTCCCCCACTTTGCCTATGGGGGTGTGTCAAACTATATATGTGTTAGTTCTGTGTAGGCTATAGTGGGGTAGCTCATATGGGGTACAACCTGAAGTTAAGGTTAGTACTTGTACCCACATTTCATCCAATGCAATCATTCCTGCTTGCTATCTTGACAGAAAGAGGTAGGGGAGAATGAGGCGGCCTAGCGCTGCAGTGGTAAGGGAAGAGTAGAGCGCAACTACAGCGTCGTACAGTTCCTTTGCCGTTTTGGTTTGATCGAAGTGCGCACGCTCGGATACGGGCAGGTGGTTACGGACAGCTAATCGAGCGGCAGCGTCACGAGTGAGCCATTTTGAGCGAGTCGTGCTATCGGTAGAGGCGGCAGGTGCAGGACTAGCTCCAGCGAAACATCGAAACATACAGCAGGTGTGAGGTCATACAGCGAAACATCGTCTCTAGAGTCGCTCAGTAGGAACAGTTGTAGGTCCTGCAGCCAAGTTTCGAACTTAATGGGGCGGCCGTCAGGATCGAATTCGAGAACGCTGAGCGAGGCCATAGCGTCTTAGTGAATGGGGCCGCGCAAGCAAGCAAGCAGGAAGCTTCCAGGAAGCTGCGAGGGCTGCAGGTGAGCGGTGAACAGAGCGGCAGCAGTAGAGGGCCGGCAAGTAGGCTGGCAGGAGCAACACGCGGGCAGGTGCGGACGGCGCTAGAGGGTGCAGCGTAGCAGTGGCTGCAGCAGCAGTGCGGGCGGCGGGTGGGCGCAGCAGGCAGCCGCGGCAACAGGGCAGGCGGCGCACGGGGCTGCAGGGGGCCGGCAGGAACAGCTGCAGCAAGTAGCAGCAGCAGTAGCAGCAAGGAGCAGTAGCTGCAGCAAGTAGGAGCAGTGGCAGCAAGAAGGAGCAGCTGCAGCAAGTAGGAGCAGCAGCAACAGCAAGGAGGAGCAGCTGCAGCAAGTAGTAGCAGCAGCAGCTACTCTAGTGCAGCAGCGCGCTAGGAGTTGAGGCAGCGCATGGCGCTACAGGCGGTCGGCAGGGCAGCAGGGCGGGCTGCACGCAGGGCCTAATGGGCGGTTGCAGTAGCAGGGCGGGCGGCGCCTAGGTGCAGCAGGCAGCCGCGGCAGCAGGGCAGGCGGCGCACGGGGCGACTAGCGGCCGGCAGAGCAGCAGGGCGGGCGGCGCACGGGGCTGCAGGGCAGCGCGACAAGCGGCGCGCTGGGCGTAGCAGGCAGCCGCGGCAGGAGCAGGCGGCACACGGGGCTACAGGGCCTACGGGGTTGCTGGCGGGCGGCGCGCAGGTCGGTAGGAGATGCGCGCGGGCTGCGCGGACAGCAGACGGGTCGCGCGGGCTACTAGCGGGCGGCGCGCGGGCCAGCAGAGGCGACTAGCGGGTCGCGCGGGCTACTAACGGGCGACGCGCGGGCCGCACGGGCTGCTAGCGGGACGTGCGCGGGGCTAGGGCAGTGCAAGGCTCGGGGTAGCTCGGTAACCGCAAGTGGTGGGTGGTGGGCTTGGAAAAAAACGCTCCTAAGGTCCTAAGGACCTATTGCTTTTAAAACCCGCGGGCCAAGAAGTTAAAGCTTAGGAAGCTTGGTTGGGAACAGATATGCCATTGGCACACGAAGGGACTGAAACGTCGAAAAGGTTGGACGAACGTCGCGAACTATGCCAAACCTCGCCAAAGTAACCTGACACATAATGCGACGGCCAACATGCCCACACCTCAATCGCACAAACCCACCAGCGACCTTTCCCCACGACCCATCCACATTTCTGAGTGTCACGCCCCAACAACACTTCTATTAGGACCTTAGTAAGCCTTACGTTGGTATCTATGCAACGTAAATCAGAGCAAGTAGAGTGACCCACCGTCACGTAACATTCCAACGACCAGTGACTTCGTAACACATAGATTTCAAAGTCGTGTAACAAGGACAAAAATAGAGATACTGCCGGCGTCAAAGCCTCCAGGTGCGGATTCCGTGAACGAAGCCCTTCACACAGCGGTTAGGGTTTGCTCGTGCCGGAATTTCCCATCCCGGGCTCGCCGCGCTGCTATTTCTTCCCGTCGCAGCGCGACGCCCTTTCAGTCGCGCTGCTAGTTCATTACGTCTCCTGCTACACCATGTTCATCGACTTCCCCCTCCCGTCGCCTCCACTTCCCCCTCCCTTCGCCTCCACTTCCCCCTCCCTTCGCCTCCACTTCCCCCTCCCGTCGCCTCCACTTCCCCCTCCCGTCGCCTCCACTTCCCCCTCCCGTCGCCTCCACTTCCCCCTCCCGTCGCCTCCACTTCCCCCTCCCGTCGCCTCCACTTCCCCCTCCCGTCGCCTCCACTCCCCCCTCCCTTCGCCTCCACTTCCCCCTCCCGTCGCCTCCATTTCCCCCTCTCGTCCCCTCCACTTCCCCCTCCCGTCGCCTCCACTTCCCCCTCCCCCTGCTACCCTTGTCATTCTCCCTTCCCCTCTGCTCCATTCGCCCGCACTGCGCAGTTTGTGCAGTTCTTCGTGCGCTCCGTCCCCGACGCACAGGTCAAGACCTACAAGTACATACTCAACTCCCTGCTCACGGTACGCCCTGCCCTAGCCTGCCACCCTGCCCCACCCTGGCCCCTCCTATTCTTACCTCCCTGCAGCTGTGTGCAACTTTCAAGTGTAAACACCCTAGACAAAACAAACCCCTCTCTCCACGCCATCCAGTGTTCATCCGATGCCAACTCCCTCCCCTCCCCATCCCCCTGAGCACAGCTGCTCGAGACCAACTCAGTGAGCATGCACATCCCGGGCGATGACTTGCGGCTGCTACTGGGCTTGAACGCTCCTTTGCCGCTGCTGCTGCCGATGCTGCAGTGCCTGATGACTCCTCGCTGCTTGACCAGGTGAGCCCGTCACCTTGTGTACCCACCTAAAGGCATGCCAGTTACCGACCTGTACCCAGTGTGGCCGCTCCCTGTCGGCCAGTCTTTCTGAGTCTTGTTTCTGCTTTGTAAGGAAATCCTGCTCAAACCATCTCCCTCTCTCTCTCTCTCTCTCTCTCTCTCTCTCTCTCTCTCTCTCTCTCTCTCTCTCTCTCGCTCTCTTTCTCTCTCTCTCTCTCTCTCTTTCTCTCTCCCTGCCTCTCCTGCATGCGACCATCTCGAGCTGCAGAGCATAGTGCGCAAGATAGTGGACCGCAAGCAAGGAGCAGTCAGCCTTTTCGAGCATCACTACTACATGCAGTCACACCCTGGGGTGAGCTTACAACCTTGAGTGCTTGCTGACGCTTGCAACACATTTTTCTCAAATCAGTTCAAACCACTCAGACCTCCAAATATGTGGCTCTCTATGCCTCTCCACGCTTGAGCTCCCTCCCTGCATTTGCCGCCCTACTCTATGCTCCAATCAACACCTTTCTCTCTCATTTCCTAGGTTCCCCCCTCATGTGCTGCCCCCACATGCGCCATCCCGTGCCGCAGATTGACGTGTTTGCACGGCTGTCCAGCATCAGCGACACAATGAGTTTGTACCTTCAAATGGGCATTCTCCGCGTGCGCGAGCACGTAGCTTGTGGCGACACCCTTGCCACCTTTGCTGCTTCCATGCTGGAGGCAGGCGCTGCTGCCTCGCTGCCGGAAGCAGGCGCAAGCGCTCCTGGAGGCATGAGATGGCTTTCCAGGGCTGTGCTTGCGATGCCGGTGGCAGAGGAGCAGCACTTGCCCTTGAGAGGGCTGCCGCCCAACGTGGTGCAATGGGGGGCGGGCGATGGTGGGAGTTACGGGAGTTACGGGAGTTACGGGAGCAGTGCAGCAGATGCAGCGGCGTATGAGATGTCCTAAATGAGGCTGAATGGGGAGCACTCAGGTGTCAACCTCAGATACTGATGGTGCTGAGATGACCATGCACAAGGATGTTAGGGAAGTGAGCAGAGTAGTTAGGCTACAGATCTGTATCTTGCACTCAGTCAATTCTAGGAAGCACTTGATGGCATCTTTGCTAGGTCAACTTTCAAGGCCACACGCTACTGATTTTTTCTTCAGCAAAACAAAATACACAATGAAGTTCTAACACTGGATCACAGCGGTAAGCCAATGTGCATGATGCAGATTCTTCCTGCTCTAGTCTCCAACTACCCTGGGCATGCTATCTCCCAGTCATGGCCTTAGAGCTCATCGTCCCCCACAACAGCAGCTGCCATGTCAAGCTCCTCCTCGTCCGGCTCCCCCGACTCCAGGTTCGGGTCCTTGCCGAACCTAAACGGCGGCGCCCTGACTGCGTGTAAGGCATGAGCCCGAACACCCGCGCAGTTCGCATTTCCCGAGCCACGTGGCGCTGCGCCTTGGCAGACAGCCGAGTCTGCACTGCAGGCGTGGATAGTGACGGACGGCGACATGGCATGAGGAGTGGAGGTGAATGACATGCAAGTGTGCTTGTTAATGTGGAGGAAAAGGGTTTACAGGGAGTGTGAGTGAGGAGGATAGGCAGGCAGCACACATGGCAGTGCGCACTGTAACTTGTACGAGGAGTGAGAGTAGACAGCACAGACAGTAGTGCAACTTGGAACCTAACATGAGGAGAGTGAGACTGCGGGCTCACCTTGTTCCTGGGTCTGATCTTGCCGGAAGCACATGCACCTGAATTTCAGAATTCTCAAGAAGCACATGCACCTACCTCTTGACCCAGTCAGCAGAGTTTCCCGTTCCACTATGCCCCTGTGTGCTGCCCAGACTCCCATATACATATTTCACAATCCAACTTCGCCACTTCTCTGTTCCTCCCCTTGCCCACTCCCTCCCTGTGCCTATCCGCCCTCACTTCCCCCCCCTGTGCCTTCATTGCCCCCTCTCCATCCCTCCCCTCATCTCACGCGGAAGTCAGCAGCACGCAGAGTCTCCTTAGTGGTTGGGGTGGGCAGATTGCTAAAGCAAGTCCCCCGTGCCGTCTGGGAGAGGCTGAGATATGTCCATGCCCGATTGCCTGCTTAGCTTGGCTGCTTTGAGGGTCAGGGACGGGGGGTGGGAGGACAGGGAGAGATGCAGGGAAGGATGTGGGGTGGGGGGCGCGATGTAGGCAGAAGAGAGAGAGATGGGGGGAATGGAAAATGTCAGGGAGGTGAGGAATGGGGAAGAGGAGCGGAGGCAAGGAAAATAGCGCATGGGCATAGTGAAATGGACGGACGACACAATATGAGGGGAGGTAACGTGCGATGGACCACCCATCTATTGCCATGCGCGCCTGCTGCTAACGCCCCTCTCCGCCTCCCCCCTCGCCGTCCTCTGCCAGGCGACCAGGCACGCACATGCACACACACGTGCAGCACACAAGCAGCACACATGCAATACACATGTAAGCCAAACGCGCTGCTGAGAGCCACGTGGCAGGACAAGGTTCCACCAATGAAACAGCGCGTGCGTGGCAGGGATGACCTGGCTACCTAGAGCTTGAAGTGAGAAGCTGCTACGTTGTAACTGCATTCATTGGAGCCTAGCGTGTGACACTGCCACGTGTTCTGTGTGTGAGACTGCCACGTGTCAGCAGCACTCACTGGAGAGCGCCTGCTGGATCCACTGCCGCCACTCCCCGACCTCCTCCTTCCGCCCCTCCCCTCCGCCTCCCGCCTCCGCCCCGCCTTCCCCCGACCCCCCGCCACCACCGCCCGCAATCTGATCCGCGCTGGCTGCTGCTGGGGCTGGGAGCGGGGCGAAGTGGAATGGCGCTGCAACGGGGAAGAGGGCGAGACGAGGAGAGGGATAGGCATGGTTGAATGAAAGGTGAGGTGCGAGATGGTGCGTAGTAAACTGAGAGGGAGGAGGGGGCTTAGAGCGCAATGAAGCCCCCAGCGATCTCATCAGCGTAAGGGATGCGCGCGGAGAAGGAACTGGTAAGGGGATGGCGGAGCGGAACGGATGATGTCAGCATGATTGATGGCGGTGGGGTTTGAAGAGTTTGATCGACGGTTTGTAACGGGGACAGATTGATGCGATCGGACGGTCCAGAAACTCTCGAGGTACGCGGAGATCCCGAGGTGACGTCGCTCACACCAGGGGCAGGAGAAGATGACGTCACTAAAGCCACGATTCGCTGGCCTTCTCTCAAGCCGCGACGCGCCGACGTGGCAGCCGCCCGCCAGGCTAACTGAGAACAATGCGACAGCGCGAGTGTGCAGCGGGAAATGTGCTTGCGCGAGTGTGCCGTGGCGAATGCGACAGCGCGAGGGAGCAGCGGCGCATGCGACGGCGCGAGTGTGCCGTGGCGAAATGCCTAACGCGAGTGAGCCGCGGCGAACCCTCAATGTCACGAATGTTTCACACTCGTGCCGAGTGCGAGATGCGTCTTAGCAATCGTGGAGCTATGGGCAACGTAACCCTAAAGAATCTGGGCGCGACGCGCCATCGCATAGGATCTTGCTAAGGCCGTACGTGGTCGTCCCGATGGCATTAGATTGTACTTTATTCTCGTCATTAGTAGATTCCTAAGGCTTTGTGCGGCAATGTGGTTGCGTTGACGACAATGTTCACGCACCGGACGTTGTTATCGTCCAGTGCGGTTTGTTGGCGAATAGCTCTTGCTCAGCGACTATAATAGTAGTTCTTAGATAGCGGGTCTAATCTCTGGCGTTTTGGGACAAGTTTCTCTGGGCTAGTGGGTCATGTTTGTTGAGGTTGGTGTTGGGCGATCTTTCCGTGCGATGTTCATAGGGCTGAAACGGCGTTGCTACAGTGCTTTTGGTTGGCGAAAGTTGAGTTTGGGCCTTGTGTGTTGACCTTGTTGGCCCCTGGTGGGAACCGGGTTACACCCAGCAAGGTTAGGAAGCTTGAACCAGTTTCGTGCTTCTTGACCCTCCGGTTTTAATACCATGGTAGAATAGGTAGCAAGGAATGATGAGACTATCGAGAAAGTTTGGTACAAAATAGGAAGAAGGGGTTGTACCCCATAGTGGCTACCCCACTACAGCCTAGATAAATAACCTAAGCATATATGTTTGACATTTTATGCCAACTCTGAGAGTTTCAAACTAAAACTGTGTACTAGTCTGACGAATTAAACAGGCAAAAAACGAATCTGAGGGCCTTGCTTGTACTTGCCATTATCAATCAATTCTCATTCATCTCTTCAATTACTCCGTAACTTCTTCGCCTACAATATTTCGCTAATAATTCTTTCGTCAAAGTTGTTGGAAACAATCGGTCTTAAGCGCCTCTGTCGTGTCGAAACACCAAGGCACAAGCGAAGCAAAGCATATCGAGGCACCAGCGAGTCAACCCTCGGAGGTTGAAGTAACTGCTGGAGGTTACGCGAAAGTCAAAGGTCAGCGACCTTTGACTTGACAAGTACAGCGCGACAGCAAGGACACACAACTGACTCGATACAGAGCAGTTGCCCGAGTCGTCACTGTATCGAACCGCAACAGCAACAGTAAAAGTAGTTACAACCGTATCTCTTCGTATTCCTTGTACTCTTATATATATAATCTTGTATCTCTTTGCTTTAATCAACTTTGCCCTCACATACTAGCGCAAGGTGGTTCACAATCTTTCATTAAAACGCTTCCGCTATTACAGTCCTACCCAAAGTTCATCCCTGTAAAGATCCTAAGGGCTTTTCTCAGCCCATCATGGTATGAGAGCAGTCAGGGAGAATTCAACTTCTACAAAAATACCGACAACATCAACAGGCATGGCTACACAAAAAGAAAGGAGCACCTCCAACGGCTCCCAGGGCACTACTCCTACTCCACCTCCTGCCTCTGGCCTATAGACAGAGGAGGGCACAGCAACAAGATCCAGGGCAACATCCACCGAGACTCCTACGAATCAACCTGCAGACTTCGACCAGAGCATGATGGAGAAATTTTTCTCCTTCGTGTCCTTCTACGAGCAACACCAGCAATCGGCACCTGCGCAGTCACACAACAGTAACAACAACGGAGCAACTCCCATGAGTCTCGACGGCTCATCATACGCACGAAGAAATCAACAGCAGCAGCCTATCTTTGCTCCGTACGAGCGCGGGTCCATCAGCTTTATGCCACACCCGCAGCCTTCACCTGGACAAGAAAAGTCACTGGACGCACTACAAGTTCAATCGCAGTTCGCGCACGTTCTGAAGATGCAAACGTCAAGGCCTTTCGATGGAAAGGATTTCTTCACCTGGTCGTTTGAATTCGAATCAATGATGGAAGGCGCGCAGATACTTGGCTTCTTCGACGGGTCCCTGCCATATCCAACGAACGGCACACAGTATGAGAAGCAGCAGTACACCTATCAGTCGATGATGGCGTACACGATTCTACTGAGGAACATCACCCCAACTCAACAGCAGAACATACGGTCTTACCGGGGTTACAGCAACTCCGCGGAGCTCGCGTACAACCACTTGAAGAGCCTGTATCAAGCAACAGACAGCGTAAATCAAAGTCGGTTAATGGCGCAACTGACAACGGTCGAAATGAAACCAGGCGAGAAAGGAATGGCGTATATCAGTCGATGTAGCGAGTTGCGCGACAAGCTTCTGCGATGCGGGGGGTCGATTTCTGAAGACGCCTTCGTGACAGTTATCATTGGCGGCCTCGGTCCTCAATGGCGCGCCACAAAGGCCATTCTCCGAGCCCACGGCAGAATCTCCGAAGCAGCACTCTGCGCCGAAATCCATGCCGAGCAGCAAGACATGGACCTGCAAGAAGAAGGACACAAGAAGAAGATATCAGCACCGGAATTCGCATTCCACACTCAGCGACGCTACAACAACTACAAACAACAACAACCGAAGTTCGTACCTCCTTTCTGCCACATCTGCAAGACGTCAGGGCACCCGCGCACACACTGCCCGAATCGACAACAGTCAACTCCACCTCAACGGCAGCTTCGACCTTCCAGTAGCCAAGTGGCATCAACACAGGCGAACCCCACAAGCCAGTCGAAACCGTAACAACACAACCTGCACAAGGAGCAAGGAACATCGTCAGTTGCATGGCAAAACTGACCGATTCCTGCATCACCGAGTCACCGCCACACTACTCACCGGAAGAACGACTTGACGACACCACACCTCGCCGCGAGTCACTCCAGCCGAACCCAACATACGCAGCCATTGCTCAAAGCGAGCCATCCGGGAAAGACACGTGGTTCTTGGACAGTTGCTGCGGACAACACATGTGCTCTTCAGGACACTTCGTGCAGCGAGAGTATCGACTTCAACACGAAGTAGTCATCACCGTCGCCAATAATCAGAACCTGCGCACACGACGACAAGGCGTGGTACAACTTCAATCACGAGAGACAAATGTCGTTCTACAGATGTCTAAGGTTCTAATCGCAGAAGGCCTCGGCTACAACCTACTGAGCGTCAGTCAGTTGATGGCGAAGGGCATTCACCTCGAGGCAGACAGCACCACCCAGGAGTTCAAGCTGTACCACGGGAAGGGCGGCCTCTACATCGGAAGGGCGATCCTCAAAAACAACGTCTTCGTTCTTGACTTTGTCCCAGATCTCGGCACAGCAGACAGCGACGGCATCGTCACCTTCACCTCCTGGACCCATCCTCCAGACCTTGATCCAGACTTCAGTCCAGAAGGCTTCTGGTATTCACACACCATCCCTGAGGCAGAAAGAACAAGGGCGTTAGCAACAATTCAGAGACAACATCGGCAGCAGCAGAGACAACATCGGCAGCAGCAGAGACAACATCGGCAGCAGCAGAGACAACATCGGCAGCAGCAGAGACAACATCGGCAGCAGCAGAACCATCAACGGCAGCAGCAAGAACGTCAACACCAATCGCTGGCCCTTCAACGGCACCGCTCCTCGTCGACGACACACCACTGACACCCGCGCAACAACTACACCCAGCACCACGAGAAGTTCATCGTAGCACCAACTTCATCGCCAACTTCTACTCCAACTCCGAACTGTACCGACGATCACCCGGACATCGCGCCGACGAAAGCACCTGGCACACAAGGATGGGACACCCAAGCAACACAGTATTAAACAATACGATACGAGCAGGAGTACTCGACAAGGACTCACTACTACTGACCGATGGAAGAGAACTTCAACGAGTACGTGGAACGTGCTTCACCTGCCCTGAAGCTGACTTACCACATCGACCGTTCGCGTCTCACCATAACCCAAGCGCACCAGCTTACACGCCACTCGAGAAGGTGTACAGCGACATCCTGTACAATCGCGAGCCGGGGCAGAACGCGTACAACTACACCATCACGTTCATCGACGCCGCAACACGTTACGTTTGGCACCTGAATCTTCCAAGCAAGGATATGGCGTTCGAAGCCTTCGTCGCGTGGCTCCCAGTAGCGGAGCGAGAATCGGGCGTCAAACTAAAGAGCTTCCAGTCAGACGGGGGAGGAGAATACACCTCACAAAGGTTCAAGCAGTATCTGGCAGAGAGAGGAATCAAGCGGCTCATTTCCCTTCCCTACGCCCATCAACAGCAGGGTGTAGCAGAGAGGATGAACAGGACCCTCCAGAACACCATGCGGAAACTGTTACGTGGCATGCGGCTACCCACCCACCAGTGGCCCGAAGCAATGGACCACGCCGTGATGCTGCATAACTTGCTTTCTTCGCCGTCACTTCCGAACAACACATCACCGCATCTGCTGTGGACAGGAAAACAGGGCAGCACAATGTCAGAACATACATATAGCTTATGCTGTTGTGTAGGCTATAGTGGGGTATCCCATAGGGGGTACAACCCAATTAGGGTTTCCTATATGTACTCACTTCATTCATAGTTCATTCATCCTTGTTCAAATATTCTCATGGTATCGAGCAGGTTCCCCCTTGGGAACTGTGCTTAGGGCCCACCACAATTTTTTTTTCCTGCC